ACTCCCAGTTGAAAAATGGAATGTGTGAGTTTCAGGTCTCCACCTCTCGACCAAAGTTGTCACCAGTGCTTGGTCCACTTTAAGGTGCCTTAGCTTTGCAATCCCAGCAAAACTAAGTTGTTCAAGAATAGGAACAATTATGGGGTTGGGTTCTGGCATTGAATGATAGAAAGATGAGATCATATTTTCAGTTTCCTGCAGTTATTAACAAATTAGTAAGTAACATTATACGTAAAAATTGATTTACATTTTAAGTAAATAACGATGATGTTTCAAACTTACCGTTCTACCAATGAAGGCAGACCTATGTTCGTTTTGCTTTGACTACAATATTTTTGTGATTGGTGAGTGAGTCATTACTTGGTGTCATAAAGTGGTCACCGTCACTTGATGCTTGTTTGAATTTTGTAAACCTTTTAATGAGAAGGAATCCAATAGTGTCATAGAGAGGTCACTCACTCGTAAAACATGGATAACAGAACATAGAGTTAGTACTAGGAGTAGAGAAAGCTTGTTCAAATTTTGTGAAGCTTTGAATGAGAGAAAATTCAATGGTGTCATAAAGAGGTCACCATCACTCGTAAAATGTAGATGGCAGAACATTGAGTCAGTACTTAGGAGTAGAGAAAGCTTGTTCGAATTTTGTGAAGCTTTGAATGAGAGGGAATCCAATGGTTTCATTGAGAGGTCACCATCACTCATAAAATGTGGCAATACCTTGTTCGTGTTTATTTTTTTCATTCAACCTTATAAGCTTGTTCCTTTTTTCCATCGAAATCCTAAACCTTCTAAACTTGTTCCTTGTTCTTGTGAACCTTCTCCTTCTAAGCTTGTTCATCATTCACTTTCTTCAATCTAAATATCTTCAATCTATGTCATTGTTCTCTTTGATGGTTGATAAATTCACATTTTACTACATTGTTAGTGTAGTTTTTGTTAATAAATAAGCAGTAAAGTACCAAATAAACTTGAAAATATAATAAAAATTGTATTAATATTCATAATTGTGTAAATAGTTTAGAATTTTAGATCTTATTCCAATTCTGAACAATTAGACTTAAAAGGACTTAATTTTTGTATAGAAGCTTAAACTGAGACTTTGAAATTGATATTGAAATGAAAAAAGGTGAAAGGATTGAGCTTAAAAAGCAAGAATCAGATGATAAGTGCTAGGTGTAACCACTTTAAGTGCATAGAGTTAACACTTTAAAGAAAAATTTATGAAGATCAAGTGAGTAATAACTCTAAGTGCTAAAAGTGAATACTCAAGTAGTAGAAATCTTGAAGAGTCTTGTGAGTGTATACTCTGGTCGCTGAGAATAGCTACGCTCAAGGCTAATTTACTTAGACACTTTGCGCGTGAACACTGATCACTAAAAGTAGCCACTCAAAGTGCACGTGTACACTCTGACCACTGAAAGTAGCCACTCACTTTGCGTGTACACTCTGCCTACTTAAAGTAGCCACGCACAAGCCTTACTTACACAGAACACATGCGCATAAACACTTTTACTCTTGAAAGTATCCACGCAAAATAACAGAATTTTGAAAATTACTTTTAAGTGTTGAATTTGGATGATTTGAATTTTTATCTCAGTTATAGAAGCTTCTAGAAGACCTTTCATATTATAATTCTCAGAGATTAAAGTGTGCAAGTGAAAAAGGTTGTTTTGGACCTTCAAGTCATGCATTGATGGTTTTGCCTTTTGCAAACTAATTGTTCAAGTGGATGAAACATTTTTGTATGGTAAATACAAAGGGACTTTATTGGTGGCAATTGCGCAAGACGACTGCAACAACATCATTCTCATTGCCTTTACTGTAGTTGAAGGTAAAACCAGTGATGCATGGTTCTTTTTTTTAGAAACTTAAAGAGGTACGTAACCCCGCAAGAGGGGTTGTGCCTCATTTCGAATCGTCACAAAGCCATAAGAAGTGCATACTCCAGAAATGGAAATGGTTGGACAGAAAAATTCTATCTATGTCTATTGCATTAGACACATTGCACAAAACTTCATGCGATAATTTAAAAACGTTGCACTTAAGAAAGATGTCGTCAATATGGGTAATTTTAATTTTTTACATATTCTATATTATCATTAATATTTTATACACTTATTTAACTAGTTATATTAATTTAATTTGTAATCTTTTTTTCAGCATATAGGATGACTGAACCAAGATTCTTTTACTATTACAACATAGTAAAAGATAATAATCCTGAAGTTACATAATGGTCGGACAACATCCCAAGGAAAAAATGGATGTTGGCATGGGATAACGGATGACGCTAGGGACGCATGACAACAAATCTAGCGGAGTCAATCAATTCGATCTTGAAGAAAATCAGAAACCTGCCAATTTGCTCCATGGTCATGGCGACATACACTTGTTGCAACAAGTTCTTCTTTGGATAAAGCAGGGAAGTAGATACAATGATTAATGTTAGACATGTGTACTCGAAGATTGCAACTAAAATAATTCAAGATGTACAGTCAAAGGCAAATACTCATAGAATCATTATTTTTGACAAAACAAACACTAGATTTTTAGTCGAAGAAATGCAACATCCGAGACAAGTTTAACCTTTAGAGAGATTTATAGTACGGTTAGATAAAATGTAGTATGATTGTGGCAAGTTCCAAAAAAGTTCACATCACATGCTCACATGTACTTGCTTCATGCTTACACGCATACTACAATTTTCACATCTACATATCTCCCGTGTATACCTCACAACAAGTTTCTAAAGTATATGAAGGTCAGTTTGAAAAACTAAAACACGAAGACTATTGGCCAACTTACACTGGCCCAACTTTGTGTCCAAATCTGGAACTGAAAAGAACTTCAAAGAGTCGACCCAAGTCCATCAAGATAAGAACAGAGATAGACATTAGAGAACAACAAAATCGTGCAAAAAATTGTTCCTATTGTCATACCCCTAGCACACAAGGAAGACATGTCCAAATATTTGTCATGCATTTAGTTCCTGTCATTGATTTCTTTTGTTGTAACGGGTTATAAAGAAAAAGAAAACCTAACTTTAGATAACATTGCATTAATATATGTCATAGTTTTACTTCCCACACTACCGCCCTTTGAATCACTTTTGCATATTAATATTAAAAAATTTCACGTTGCATTTAAAATGAAATACTTTTTCAAAATAATATTATCATATTAATATTCAAAATTCATAACACAAATTTACATATTCAATAAAATATATCAACATAATATTCTTTATTATTTCACATAATATAAATACATAAATATTATTTTACACAAATTAACATAATATAAACATTCATGTTTACATAATATAAAAATATAAATATAATTCAAATAATAAAACATCTTTATTATTTCACATAATATAAATACATAAATATTATTTTACACAAATTAACATAATATAAACATTCATGTTCACATAATATAAAAATATAAATATAATTCAAATAATAATAATATTTATTATTTAAAATTAACTAAATATTTTAAAATGTTTATTAAATTTCACAATATATAAATATATAAACATAAAAAATACATAAAAATTATTTTATTATATAAAAACAAAAAACCAAATTTTAAAACAAAAAAAAATTGTGACCGGAATTCGGTTATTTAGAAACCGAATTCTAGCATGGAAAATTTGGCTATTTGGACAAAACACATGTCAGAATTCAGTCTCTAGAGACACGAATTCTGAACCATACAGGGAATAGGTCTAGTTGGGTAAATATATTGGGATTGGATTCATCTGTGTGTATATTTATTTTTTTTAATATTTTTCTGTAAAAAATTCATTATGGAAAACCAGAAGAAAACACTACCAATAATATTTGGAAATGGGGATGGGTTGCACTGGCAATTAGAACGCACTTGGTAACAATATTCAATTAATGCTTGTGGATATCGCATATAAAAGCGTTGTGATTTAGGAAAATGCTTTGTGAATATAATATTGAGATAATGAAATTAATGAATTCGAAATAGTTGTTTTATCCATCATTAAACATTAAAATTAACGTAACGCAAGATTTCAATTGTTTGCTTATTATTAGTCAAAATTAAAATGGAGTGATTCTATTTCGAATTTTGCATGCTATACGAGAGCAAATGCAATGCACCAATATTGGATGCAGACAATATAAATAAACACAGCACATTACAAAAGATACATGAATAGAATAAATATTAAAGCATTTCAAAGATTTTACATGAATGGTAGTTATTATCTTGGTTCGGAGTTAATATATTTTCTAGATATTCTACTAGCGGAAATTTTCTCTTGCTTGGAACCTTTGAAATTATTTCTATTGTTTGTGTCTGATACACTGATTCGGTTAAAGTTGCATTTATTTGCTCTGAAAATATACTCTCTGTAAATTTTGTATTAACGTGCATACTGTCCCTCTACCAATTTGTTGGGTGGTTCAGACCCTCAAATCATCAATGTCGAAATTGATCTTAATGCTCAAATAAAGGCAGTTTCCTTTTATTTTTAGCATTAAAATTTTAAAATCTATGTTGAGATGAATTAGTACTGCGCTGAACGTGGTGGTGTAAGAGGTTTGGACCCATTGAAAGTCATCTAGAGGATACAAATTACAAATTTTGAGTCAGTAAAACCCAAATCAAAATTCTGGTTCCTGATTTCTTAATCATTTCGGGACTTACGTTATCTTAGTTTTGATTCAATGCTATGCTTTTTGAGATTAGTCAAATCCCACGTTCCGATGAACCTAACCTTTCTTAATTCGGGTGAAAGATATGTTAATAATAGTTTTTTCATATTATTTTCAATAGACTTTTATAATTAATTAGTTTTAGGAAAAGTTAAAATATTTAATTTATGCATTAATTGTTTTTAAAATTATTTAAACCTTTTAAAAGATTAATGAATCATGCAAAATATATTTAAAAAAGTATAGTTTTAATATTCCTCTTGGTACGGATTACCCCAACTACCCAATGTGTATCCATTGATATCGGAACAATTAATTTTTATTTCTCCATGTGGCTTACTGCTGAGAAGATGGACATTTATTGACTCCACAATGAAATGCATTAAAGTGCGGGCTAATGACACCATACACCTGTAAGCTACATAATACTACTACTATCTTGCAAGAGTCCCACCCTAAGTGTTCTAGCTAGTTCCTTCACGTTCAGCCTCAACTCATCCTCCATCTGCATCAAATGCTCCCCAATCAAAATGGAAAATTCCTTCACACACATTATTATTCTGATTTTGTTCAAGTAGCTAGTAGTAAAATAAATTCAGAGAACAATAAATTGTTATGAAGCTGAAAATAACATAATCAGTAAAGTTACTAATCCATAGTGTTAAAATTTATAATGTTTTTTCGGAAAGTTTTTTTTAAAACAATAATTTTGTTATAATTTTCAATGTAACTTACTAAAAATAATGTATCTATTAATCACTATTAATACAGTAGTTAATAGGAGGGCTAAACGATGAATGACAGCAATGTGATGGAGTAAGAGTGTACCTGTGCTACGATGGTTATGTCGAGTTTGGAGGTTCCGAAAAGCAAGACACTGCTATTGATGACGGAAAGATGGAGATTCTCCATCTCTTGGAGTATATTCGTCAACACTTGCTTTTGTTTGTGGCAGTGGATTCGAATCAGCACGTTCTTCCCTGACACCCTTGCCTCAACTTCGGGCAGTGATCCATTCGTTTTTGAGGGGCCATAGGAGTTGCCGTCAGCACCAGAACCAGAATTTGAGGACGTATCCGAGACATCTTCATCCGCAGATAACTTAGATTTCTCAACATATACCACCGATTCTACACTTTTCCATTTGTTCTGCTCCTCCAGTAACTTCACTTGCTCCTGGAGATGTTTCACGTGCCTTATAGCATCCCCAAGCACACTCGCCTTGTCCACCTGCACCCCCCTTAATTAGTACTATTTGACTGATTAAAAAGTTATTAATAATAATGAATGAATGAACCTTTTTGAGGCCTGGAATAAGGGCCGAGAGCGCTATAAACTGCTGGCTAATCCTTTCTCTCCTCTTTCTCTCAGCAATTATGTGATCTTGAGCGTGGTGAGGAGATCTGACCGCAGGGTTCTTGTTCTCTTGAATATTGGGTATAGCTTCCTTTTCCTTTGAGGGAATAGATCTCCTATGCACAGCCTTGCGTTTTGGCTTCAAGGGGGAATCGATGTTGAATATTGGTGGTGGATTCACATTTTCAAAGGAAAGAATGTAGGAGAGAGAAGAATCCGTGTTGGTGGTGTTAGCAGAGTTTGAAGTGGCTGTCTTGAGTGTCTTGGAAGGTCTCTCGTCAAAGCCGTTGTCATCCCCTGAGGAAATGCTCATGGTGCTGGAGTGTTCTGTTTTGAAGCCGTTGCTATTATTAGAGAAAGATTGTTGCAAGTTCCCCTCCTGTGTTACAGGGACTATATCGTCATCAAATGCGAAACTTACATCAACCCCGTTTCCATCGGATTCATTGACAAAGTTGTTGTAATCCTCTGCCTCCTGGGAAAACATGGGTAGGGGTCAGCGGTGACCGAGAAGTTAGGTTATTCACAAAACCATTACAAACAAACGAGTAGATGAAAAACGTGTCCTGTATTTTACCCAATCGCACAACCAACTTGTCCATGATTCCTCCGTTGTTGTCATTTTGCTGCAATCTCTATTTCAGTTACTTGCAAGAAATCTTAGATCAAGGGTCCTGAAAGAAAACAAAAATCAGCCAAGTGGTTTGAAATCAACGCCATTATGTTCAATCATTCATACTGCAAAGTGAAAATGACATCAATACCTTGCCTCACCCACACCCGCATTACCCACCGTGTCCCATACAACTTGCCTCGTATATACTTTATATAGACTTAAATTATTGTAAACTTTTTTTACCAAATACTTTTTCATCTCTGTCCTACACATTACCAATTTTATTATATATCATTCTAAAATTAAAAATTAATAAATAATCACTTTATTAAAAAATATTATAAATAAATTATTATAAAATAATCAAGATATACATTAAGAAATTGTATATCTTTTTTAACATAAATGTTATTATATAAAAAATAAATATAAATAACTACAGCACTCCTTCCTAAATTGAGACTTTATTTTATTGAGTTGTATTATTATTACATAATTTTTTATTTTTTATATTATCTCTTACTAAATATATATATTTCGTACCTGTATGAGAATTACTTTCCTCTCCATATGTCAACTGTATACTTCTTTTAACAAAGATTCAAACTACTTGTCCATAGGTAAATTTTCTAACAATTTTGGCATATGACACAATTGTATTGATAGTTTGGTGGTCATGACATTTGTCTTTCATTCTTATGCCAAATATTACAATGTAAAATCAAACTAGTGTATTTAATAATGATCGAGACCGTCAACAACATAATTTATTGACGGATTGTGGCTGACGATGAACAACTATCAGTGAAAATTACTAATTTGAATATATTTATTGGATTTTCAGTTGAACTTTTCGTGTATTAAAAATGAAGAGAATATCATTAACGAAAAATATTGAAAGCAAGAGTAGGGGAGAAATCTTGGGTGCTGGAACGAATTAAAAGAAAAATCCCATTACACGCGTTCGATGAAGTCGAGTGTGTGTGATATTAGATTTAACATAATCTGAATACTTAATTCAACAATCATAGACAGTGGCATAAGGAGGACTTTCCTTTACAGAACATTAAATAAGTCCTCGAAAAGAGATCATGAGCTGCCCAATTATTATGATATATATCTGTAAAATATAACCTTCCTCGAATCTTCATGGCCCTTGCAGTATAGAAATTTATTTTATTGTAAAAGAAACTGAATCATATCCTAGATTTCTCTGAGAATTATTGAAAAAATAAGAATTGATGATGAAATTATTATAAGTTCACAAGACTGAATGAGTTTTGAGATTTCTTCCAGAATTAATTGAAAAGTAGAAATTATTTGAAGTCCACAGGACTAAAATTACTCTCAAATTTCTCCTAAAATTGGTCAAAAGTAGAAATTGAAGGAGAAATTATTCTAAGTTCACAATACTGAATGAACTTTTAAATTTTTCTTAAAATTACGCAAAAAATAAAAAATCACAGGAAAAATATTCTAAATTCACAAAAGACATGATAAGACTAAAAAAGTGATATCAAAAAAATTACAAGGCTCAAAGCGGTCAGTTACCATCAGTTGAAGGTTCAAGACAAAAAAAAATCATAGCTAATAGTAGTTATAAAAAATAGTCACAATCGTTAGCATAATCAGAAACAGTCATGAATAAAGAGCAACCGCAGTTGAAGACAAGCACGTATAGAAGACAGCAACAGCGGTTGAAGACAAGCACGTATAGAAGACAGTTACTTACTGAGTAGTGCTTGCGAAAAGAGAAAAATGGTGGTGGTGGTCCATTTGCCTATAAATACTACAAAGCTTCATTTTTCAAGGAACGACTTTTTGTACTCAGACACTACATTCAAACTCTCTACACATTGAATCTCTGCACCTAGCTAGACACGAACTATCAAGAGACTCCCAATTATTGGTGTTCATTGTTGCTAGGAATCCTACGTTTACATTTATGTACATTTACACTTCTGCATATTAATTTCAGTCTATTTTGCTTGTTTCTATTCCTGCAATATAATTATTATTTGATATTTCTACGTTTGATTCAGTTTTACATAATAGTTATTTACTATTCCCACTTAATATTTTACTTTACAACTTTAATTTTAGTATTACATTTAACAGTACACTTAAAAGAATTTAAAAGAACCTAAAATTCAATTTTAAAGTTGCTTTTGAATTTATTTATTACAACGTACAATTTTTACGTAAATAGGTGACTACATATATCAATAAATTATTTATTATTTCATGTAAATCTTATTAGAACTATAATTCTAATATTAAATTAATTAAAATAAATCATTTTTATTTTTGTTTAATCTTATCAAAACTTATTCATAAACTCATCTACAATAGGCTTAAATCAAATTTTAGAAAAATATTTAGACAAATATACATATGTAATTAGTATTTATTTATATTTTCTAAAAATATATTAATTGTTAAAAAATTTAATAATTAAATTGACAAAAAAAAATTTTGAGTGAAATATCTTACTTTTCTCTCTCTCTATATATATATATATATTGTAAAATTGTATTTAAAATTAATTATTAAATTGAAAAATTATTATATAAATTATGGTTATAAAATTTTATATTATTTTAAAATTATTTTATATATTATTTATGTACATTAAAATTAATTTATTATATATTTTTAAAATATATTACAAATAAAGAATATTTAATTATATTTGTATAGTTATTTAATTTAATTAAAATTTGACATAAATAATCAAAATAATTTATAATTATAGTTGAATAAAAGTTCAAATTTTTATAATGTGTTTTATATTTATATAAAGATAAAATTATGTGATATAAATTATATCTATCTATCTATATATATATATATATATATATATATATATATATATATAAATTAAAAAATTATCATTTATATATAAATGATGTTTGTAAAATTTTAATCAATTTTAAAATTATTTAATATCTTATTTAAATTATCAATATTAATATTATAAATAAATTTTAAAATATATAAAAATATATTTTTCAATATTATGTTTAAAATTTACTTAAATTTAATAAAATTTAACATGATTAATTAAAATAAGATTTAATTATAACTTTATAGTCAAATCAATAAAAATTGTATTTATATAAAATTTTCACGTGTAACTTGATATATTTACAAGAATCTGTCGTAATCCCGTACGATATACAGCGTATGCATCCTTCCTTTGGGATCAGAGTCAGCTTTGTGAGCAAGACTAGTTGTTTGGTTTGACGGTTTAAAACAAAAATATAAATAATAACGTTTTATTATAATTGAATTGACAAAAATTAATATTTATAAAAAATTAGTATATATATAATATTATAATAATATAAAAACTAAACTAAAAAGTGAAAAAAATTAATAAATTATTTGATAATTAAAATATATTAAAAAATATGTTATTAGTTCTTAAGGGAAAAGATGTTTGTGTTTTTTAAGATTTCGTTTGGAAGTTAATATTTTGAGGAAGAGAAAAACTGTTTTTATGATAACACTTGTTAGAAAGTTTTTAAATAAGAGGAATTCATGTTTTTAAGTTTCTAAATTTTGAAAAAAATTATTAACGCTCATTCTTTTTTTTTTTTTTTTTTTGGTACCCTTCAAACTTTTTGTCTCTCACTCTAAACTTCTTAAAAAAACTTAAGTATACGTCAGAAAAATGTATTGTACTTCATCACAACCGATTGCCTTTGCCTCCACTAGCATTGTTTTGTTGTTGGCTTTACGCTAACTTGTTGCTATTGTTAAATTTATGTTTAGCAATATTAGCAAATCAAGTGTTTATATTCATTTTGTTGCTCAAAACTAGTAAAACATTTTTGTATAATTTATTATATATAGCTCATAAATTATTACGCTTGCAGTATTGTTTTTGGTCTACTTGTTTTTGCAATGTAGGATCCTTGCTGTTGTTTTATGTATAAACTTTCACAGCCCAATATCATGATTGATTAAGCTCTAAGAAGGATTGAGGAGAAATAAAAACTAAAAATATAGTTAAATTTAATTTAAATTATTAAATGTATTTGATTTAAACTCTTATAACATTAATAGCTTTTGTTATCAATTGAATTATAAGTTTAAAAACAACCCCATTCAAACACGTGCTAATTTAGGTGCTAATTGGGTGTTTTGATTACATTTTATTTCTAAAAATTAATATACAATAGAAGGTTTTTCAGAGGATATATTAAGTTGCCAGTGTTACATTCCTAATCTTTGCCGATTTTTGAATGAAATAAACTCAAAGTCAGCTGTATTATATGATTGAATGGCATTTGGTAATTGCGGGAAGAATTCTACCTCGGTAAGGCTTGAGTTGGGGAGGGATTGAACCACGACACTTATAAACTCAAATAGAAAAAGGTTAGATACTAACTAAAAGGAAATGAAAACTAATATTGAATGCGAGGAAATGAATCCATATCATTTACCAATGTATTTCAAGTCTTTAGGGGAAAAAACTGATTAATATAACTAAATAAAAGAAAAGTGCCTTAATTGATAGTTACAGCTTTTGACAAATTTGCCTAACACCAAATTATTTTATGAAAAATGAAATAATGTCTGAATTAAAAATTTTGTTTGAGTAACATTCGTATTGAAATCAAGTGTGAATAAAAAAAAGAGTTTTACACAGGATAAGACATGAACTAATTAGAGATCTTTATGAACCTATGCACCATGTTGTATTGTGGAAGAGAGCAAGGATTAGGACCCAAAAAATGTCCTTGGCTGGACGATAGCCCAGCTGAGGAAGGAACTATTAAAAACAGATAAAGTGATTCACACTTTGAGGGAAAAAGAGCCCCATATTTTAAATACTTTTAAGATTTGTTTAAAAATAATGAAAGAAATAGCATTATTTTGTCACTTAAGAAATAAAATTAAAAAGAAAAAGGCGTGCAGAGAATGCATGTATACGACAATTTTTAGCCTTATAAATGGTATTCTCATTTTGAACTTTCATCGTATCAAGGTTGCCATTAGCTCACAAGAAAATATTCTTATTCTGGCCGCGAAACTGTGTTTTAGGTTCCCCCGTCCAGCAAATTACTTAAGTACACAACGCAAGGAGACAAATACGAGGTGAGAAAGAACATAGACACCAACATAAACACTCCCCATAAGTCGAGGAGACAAACGAGAGAGCATTCAAACTTTACAGACAATGGATGATGAGGCTCTATTCTTCTGAAGTCAACATGTGGGGCGCGATACATCAATCCTTGAATAGCAAAACTCCTACTATTAGCGATTTACGTGGAACATTTTAATCAGCATCATCTGAGTTTCAATTCGCGTTTGGGAATCCGTGCACCGATGCAGATCTATCAGAATATCATTATTATTAATACACCACCCACCAAAACCAGACTGGGACCATGTTCGTGTTTAAGACATGGATTTCAATGTAGCCACGCGTAGGTTTTTTACAAGATCATTTATAGTCAAGTTGTACCCTGTGCCCATCTGCAAAATCGTAATAACTCGTCGGTATAAGTTTCTCAAATAATTGAAGAGCAAATCTTACAAGAATCTCTCCAAATAAATAGATCATGGTATAAGAAATAGATGTATTTTTCTAGATTATTTATTAAGTAAAATTCTATTTAAATATATCTTCATTAAGACAAAAGATAATATCATAAATACAGTTAATATCATTTTTCATTAAATTTTTATTTTAATATATGTATAATAAAAATTAATATTATAGTCTAATACACTGACTGACTAAAGTAAAACTCTAATTATAACCAACATTATCAAATTTTTTTTTTCCTGCATTACAAGTATCCTTCGTTAGATAATTATGTTCGAAGAACTATACAAGTTTTGTAAAGATAAAAGGTAAATATTATTGCTTTTATTGACCTGTGCGACGATGGTAATGTCAAGGATAGAATCCCCAAAAGGTAGGACACTGCTATTGACAACAAAGAGATGAAGGTTCTGAATCTCGACCAGTATTTTGAGCAAAAGCCCCTTTCGCTTTGGGCAGTGGATCCGAAGGAGCACGTCTTTCTCCGACACTCTCGCTTCCACGTGGGGGAGTTTTTCCCCACCATCATCACGCGAATCTGAATGATCCTCGCTGCTTAGCTGTGGTTTCTTCACCATCACAACAGACTCCACATCTCTGTTCTTGCTCTGTTCTTCAAGCAATCTCAAACGCTCTTGAAGCTCTTTCACGTACTTTATAGCATCTCCTAACACCGAAGCCTTGTCCATCTGTAGATTCACAAATACAATAATTATAATTAATCAATTTATGAACAGATTTTGACACTAGTGTACAGTGTAGAGTACCTTCTTTAAGCCGGGAATAAGAGCTGCGAGAGCGATTAAGCTCTGGCTGAGCTTCTCTCTTCGCTTTCTCTCGGCCATGATGTGATCCTGAGCGTGAGTTGGTGATTTGTCCCTTCCTTGGCTTTTGGGTGGGTTTTCTGTTGAGTATTTTCGGGTTTTAGACACGTTCCGAGGTCGAGGTTGTGGCGGTGAAACTGAAAAACCCTTGTTCTGTTTTGGGTTGTGGAAAGAGAGAATCTGGGAGGTGGGAGAAGAAGGGGGCGAAGAGGGTTTTGAGTTCCAACAAGAGTTATTGGTTTTCAGATGCTTGGTGGGTCTCTCCAAACTGGTTTCATCTGTGGAAACAGAGTTCCTGAGACTGAGAGTTTCGGAATAAGAAGAAACAGAGTAACTCTCTGAAGACATAGGTTGGTGCAGGGCACTTGAAAGTAATTCCTCTTGATCATCAAGCAAGTTCAGGTGGCATTGTCGAAACAAATTGTAATCCTCCGTTTCCTTGAACAGCTGAAATGAAAAAAAAAATAAAAATTAAAGCGACCCAAATCAGAAATTTAGTTTGGTTTGAGTTAATGATATATGAATTTGTTACCAGATCAGATAACCAGCTAGCTGCAGATGCGTCCATCGATGTGTTATAAATTTAATTTCTCAGAAAGATGTATTGTTCTGTTTCAGAGTTGGGAGCAATTCTGCTCTCACTGGTAGCCTCTTTATAGCGGTCTTGTCAATTCTTACCCTGCATACCCCGTGACCACAACACATAACAAAACTTTATTTATAAAAAAATTGAAAACAAATGCACGTGGGGGAAAACGTTTTCTATTTTTTTCTATAAGGAGATGCCTGGTTGGTTGCTCGTTGATTAATTACAACGGTAATAATGATAACGAGTGACTGTTCGCTGCATGAATAAATATTTTATTTCGATTAAATATTTTGGAGTAAATTTTTACTTTAGTTGATGAAATATGCGGTAATGATTAAATTTAAAAGGGAGCAATGCAGGGATGATATGACACATTAAGTGTGTCACTCGGTTTATTTTGGACATAAAAATAGGTTGTTTTATAATTTTTTAAAAGTAATTAAATTTTATTTGAATATTTTTAGTTAATAAGATTTCTCTATCATCCTTACATCTTCTCTCTTCTTCTAATAAGATTCATTCTGTAATATTTTTTTATTATATTTTTAAAATAGTAATCAAACACTCTTACTCTTGACTTTTATTATATTTTTGTATTTTAGTGAGGTTGATTTAAGAAAAATAATAATGTTATGAAAATATATAAATGGTTCCAAACTTAAATTAAGGAAAACTGGAAAACTCATAGTAAATTTTACTTGACGTGAGTTGATATAGGAGAAGAGCTTACTTGAATTTAAATTCTTTCTCTTTTTATTTTTCTGATTTTAATTTTTTTATCATGCTTTTAATCAATTTTTTTTTCTTTCTATTTATTCTCTCCCTCAATATAACTACTTTTTTTTTAAGTTTCAAATGCTATTCACATGAATCAACGCATATGTTAAATATGAAAATGACATAAATGTAAGCTCTTAAAATATAAAGATGAAATGTTATTGTCTCATTTTATATGATGAAATATAATTTTATTTTATTTTTATAAGCAAAACATATATTATTATAGAGTTCAAGGGGAACTCAAAACACATATACACAGATAAAAAATCTAACACTTACTTCAGAAAATAAAAAAATAAAAACATACTTATACAAATTTAAGACGGATGCCAATTTATAGGGTTCAAATACCAATCAGCTAGCAAAATAGTTTCTTTCTTATCAACCAGTGATAGTCATTTTTAGGAGCTTAGAATAATACAATCTAAGACTTCATTCTCATCCAAAACATTTATTATTTCTATGATGAAATATAAATCTAACAACAACAGTTAATTATCCAAGCATATATGATACTTACATTTTATATATTTTTAATTTAATATTCATAAATTGTAGTAGTGTTGACATTGTCATTTTTTTCTTTTTTTGGTTTTTGTATTTCTCCACTTTCAATCTCACTTTTTTGCCATCTTTAATAGAGGTTTAAGTTTCTTCCTTAGCCTCTTATTCCCAAAATTCAAACAACTCTTAACAATTCTCACCCAAAAAAAAAAAAAATCTCAACCACTTCACCACTTTCACTCCCACCCACACCTTCCCATTACTTCCACTATTCTCTTAATTTTTTTCTTTCTTTGCGTAAATTTTAATGAAGGTTATAATATCTTTCTTTTTTAATTTTTTATCCTTAAAACTCAACCTACTTTTAACAATTTTTATTAAATTTTCTTATTTTCTCAACCACTTTTTCACCTTTACCTACACTCTCATCCACACCCACTCATCCCAAACCTCAATCTCTCATCAAAACTCTCTATATCTTTGAATGCTCCTTCATCTGTATTGTCAGCAAGGTGGTCCATAAATTTACAAAACACTCTTGATTCAAGTTTATAAATTAATTATTAAATGTAAAAAATCTGTAAATTAATTTTCATATATACATTTATTTTAATTTAGTATATTGCTTATTTAACATCATTTACTTTAAACTTAACAAAAGTCGATAAAAATTAAATAAGAATAAATATACATATAAAAACTAATTTATAATTTTTTTATATGTAATGACTAATTTACATGAATTAAAATACCATTTAAACTTAAAATTTTTAAAGTTCCATGAACAATAATACATTATTAATTTTGATATGACATTATTTAGAAATTTTATAATTAATAATGAGTTAACTTTTTTCAACGTGACATAATAATTTATCAATTTTATTACCTTTAAAATTTTGATTGAGTTCAAAGACTTGTAAATAATATATTTTTATTATAAAAATAATATGATTATTATAATTTTATATTTTTTAATTATATATATTAATAAAACTTAATATTTAAATTATTTATCTTTATCTTAAAAATTAAAATAAACATCTTGCATAATTTATGAATCTATCCTTACTTATGGGATTTCTTTTAAAAGAATACAACTTCATGATGGGTAAAACGATCAACATATCACATTTAATGTAATTTTATATTAAAATTACTGACTTGTATAATTTTAAATTTTTTAATGTATATAAAATAGGTTATGTTTTTTAAGTATAACTTATTATTTAATTTATTTTAACTTTCAATAAATCGTATATAACACATACGATTCATATATTTACAAAAACTAAAAATATAAATTATATATATAATAGATAACTTAGATTTAAAATTTTATAAATATAAATTACACATATTAAGTATAATTTATATATTTTATTTAAAATAAATAATTAGAAACAGTAACTTACTCTTGCAATGCTAAAAAATACATTTAAAAAAAACATGTTGCTACTTTCTCAGAAACAGCTTCTTCTTTTTTTTATACTAAATTTATAATATGTTAAATTTTAACCTTAACAAGTCTTTTTATGGCAAATAAGATACTAGTGATAAACGTAAAATATAATTATTTATTGTATCTATATAAATAAGTTTCAAATTTTAATATTAGTCATTTAATTGCTGGGCGAAAAATCGCTTACGAATATATAAACTAAGTAACATATTGAATATTTACTTCATTTTTATTTTGGAAATATTGTATCACTTTAATTATTTTTTATTTAAAAAATTTAATCACCGTTCCTTTGTGTTTACAGAATTTCACAAAATTTAACAGCTTAAATATATTTTTTTCCTAATATTTTAGTAATTTTTTAAAATTCTTTTAAATAATTTTTTATTTTAGTCTATATTTTTAAAAAAATTAATTTAATTTATAATACTGATTTGATTCATTAATGTATTGTCATTTATCAATTTTTTAAGTTTAACTATTAGAAACTAAAATTAAAAATTTATAAAAAAATAAAACAAAAGATTTTGTATAAATGAACTAAAACAAAAATTTTCTTAAAATGTGAGGATTAAAATAATATTTAAAACAAATATAATCATAATTTTTAAAATTAAATTTTGGTATTATTTTGAAATAAAATAAATTGATTTTAATAATTTATACAATAAAATTATTTAAAATTATTTGTAATTACTGAATAAAAATTTAATATTAATCTTCTTCAGTTCATCTAATCTCGAAAAAGTACAATCAGGTTCAACAGAAAGGACAAGCGAAGGAGCTAACTACAAGAAATAGAGATTTTAAATATAAATGCCCGTTAAAGGGAGAAGCATAACACAAACATAAAAATTTAATTATTTCGACATCTATGAGATTCGCCTGTACCTAAAAGGAAAATAATCGTTGCAGAGTATAAAAAGTTAAACGAAAAATAATATAATAATAAAATATATAATAAATAATGTGATATAATAACCGAAATAAATATATTTTTAAATATGTAAATACAAACGTTGATTTCAGAATTAATACATGGTGCGCTTGTGCTAAAAAATATAACAAAGTACACCTATCAAGTTATCCATAAATATTTACTTTTTTTTATCTAATTTAATTTTAATTTGATTCAAGTTTTGTATCCGAATATGATAGATGAATATTACTAGAAATTATATATATATATATATATATATATATAAATACTTAAATTTGAGATTTTACTTAAACGATATCTAGTTGTTTGTTTATTAGACCAATTTTTGTAAATTATTTAGATTTTTTTAATTTATTACTTTTGTAAGAAAAATAAATTTTATGCAAATGTTGTGTATCACTCAATAAGCAAAATAAAAAAAGGCTGAATATAACAAAATAAAAAAATAATATAAGGAAAAGTCAATTAAAAGAAAAGTAAAAATACTGGACACATCATACAAATCAACTTACATTAATACTGATTATGTTAAAATTTACGTGTAAACTATTAAATATGTCCGTGCAGAATTTTTTATTTTTATTAAATTAATTTATTTTAAAATATAAAAATATATATATATATTAGAAAAAAATTATTATATTAAATATAATTATAGTGAGAAAAATTATGATATACTTCTTTATATACAATATTTTTTTATATATATTATATTTTTGTTATTCTTTTTAATAATAAGTATTTTTATTTTTTTTGTTAACGTTACTTTAGACAATGCAACATATAACTTACTATAATTAAATATAAGTTTTGGCAAATATAATATACCATAATTTAATGATTGTCTTTGATAAGGAGTCTTGTTCTATTGCATATAGGTAGGATTGATGTTTCTAAGTAGCATAATTAACATTCCTTATTTGAGTTGCAAGCAATGGGTAGGAAATTCATTAAATTTTAAAGTATTTAAGAATTTTATGAAATACATAAGCTCTAGTTAAGTGATTTTATCAGTTATTTTATCATAAGTAATAAGTAATAACGATGCAATATCTATAAAATTTTAAAGTAAAAATAAATGAAACATAAATAAAATCATGTATATAATAGTTTATTAAAGTTTTCATTAAAATTTTTATGACAAATAAAAAATAATTTTGATGATGCTAATACTAAATTATAAAATTTTTATATGTATGTAATATTAATAAAATAATAGTTTTTGTCATCTTATTTTATTTAATAAATAAATATTTTATGAGTTTTATAGATAATGTATTTTTTATTTTAAGTATTAATAAACAAATTTAATTTATATTAATATAATAGAATAAAAAATTTGATTATACTATA